CCTTAGCAAAGCGCATCCCAGGCTGCATAGCCGCACTACCCTACCCAACCATACCACACATAAACATGACACTACCCCCGGGGTTTACACAGACGAGCCGGCGAAGCAAGAAGAGCGCCAGAAGAAAGGGCCCTAGCCGGCGGGGCCCAGCCAGGACAAAAGGAGGTCCCACAAAGCGCCTACACCGGCCGCATTTGCGGTCGGGGTAGACGACGGATGGGGCCCACCTACGAAGGCTGTCCAGGCCTACACGAGATGAGGCAGGATAAAGAGGGATAATCCCCCTCGATCCCAAATCATTGAGGCCAATTTCTTGCCATAGAATAATGGCGCGAATTGTACAATCACTAGTCACTTTTAGACCTTTCCAAAGCCTGGCACAACTTTGATGGAATGAACTATTACACTTTTCACATGTCAAACAATTTTTTACAACATTTTTACCACACCTTTTGCAAAATACTTGAGAAGACATTTTTAATCGACCGTTCACCACGGAGTCTCTCTCTAGTCTCTCTGTTATAAGGGTGTTTCCATCTTAAATATTTAATATATAACTTAATATTTAAAAATTATCTAATAGTAAAAACTTTTTTTATTTTTCAAAATTTCATTGATATTTTTCCTTACCCGTTCTGGTCACATTCCTCTACCTTTATTTCAATCTCTTCAGATTTAATAGACTGCTTATCAACACTTTTATATTTCTCCTGAGCGTCATGTTCTTCCAATTTTACTTCAGTCTCTTCGGGTTTAATATAAGACGGCTTATCAATCTCTGTATATTTGTCTTGTTCATCTTCTTCCAGTTTTATTTCAGCTTCTTCAGATTTAAAAGGCTCCTCTTCAACAGTTTTATATTTCACCTGTTCATCTTGACCATCTTCTTCCAGTTTTATTGCAATCTTCTCAGTTTTAATACAAAACTGTTCGTTTTTATGTTTCTCCTGTGCATCAATGCAGTTATTTAAGAACGTGCCATGAGTACAAAGTGAATCAAAACATGATCCACACAAAACGGGGTCATTGGTAATACTGAAGTTCTAGAATAAAAAAATTAAAATGTTAATATCAGGGCAACTTCTTTATATTGAAGAAAAACAACTAAAACAGAAAAACTAAGAGACAGAACATTTTTATTACTAGAAAACAACATTCGTTTAAATTCAGCTAATTTACGGGTCTTGAAATAAAATAAGTGTAAAATTCCAATACACATAAATATATCTAAGAAATACTTTGAGCAACACTTACTACTTGTGGTATATATGTATCGATTATATCCGCATCAACTTCATTCAATGACACAGATCTACGTGTTACCAACTGAATACACAATCGACAAATTCTCTCATTTTCTGATATATCAGTTAACTGAATATTTCCATTCTCCTCTAGATAAATTTCCTTTAAGTCAATTGCTTTACTGGCATTAACATATAAAGATATAATATCCTCGGCACCCATACATGCCGACTTAAAATTGAAAGCAGCGAATAATTTCACAGAACACACTTTACACATGAACTGTTTGTCTCTCTCCCCCAAACCCTGAAATGTGTTCGCAATTAATGATATCAAAATTTACTATGCATAAAGATAAACTCAATCTTACTAGGTTCGGCAAAGTAAACTTTAGAATTTCCCTTAGGGCTTCTTCTATTACTTTATCATTAGTATCGCTTATAATATTAAGACACAATCTGCAAACTGTCTTTTTATAATTTTGTGGTTGCATTGTTTTCTCTCCTAACGAGATATTCAAGACAGATAACAAATTTTACAGTTTTAAAAACAATCCTCACATAACCTACAATGTCAACAAATCATTTTCCGTTGACTGAAATATTGTGCTAAGACTTCTAATCAATAACCATACGAGAAAAAATGTAGTCCGCTGACGGACCCGACTATAGATGCGCTAGTGTCGTCCATCTGTAGTCGCGTACCAAAAGTTTAAAAATTGCGCTGTAAATTTTGGTTTGCACATTGGCTACATATTGCAATCCACAGAACATCCTTACAGTATAGGTATTTTTTGAAATATCGTGCATCTCTATAACATAGTGGTTAAGTTCACATGTAGTGATGGGCATAATCGACCAATTTTGATAATCGAGTTATCGGTAATCGAGTACTTCTAATAATCGAGTGAACACTCGAGATACGAGATATTGCCCGTTTTCATCCCAGCGGCGTAGAAATATGTTTGTATTAGTCATATATTACTTATAAGCGTAAATAAAAAAAAAAAAAGCACACGCACTTCAAAACCTAACCACTTTTTCGTTTTATTCTAAAAAAAGGTTACGCAATCAGTGACTATTTGCAGTATGCACTAACATTTTGGGGTGCAACCGTAGGATAATAATCACTTGAGTGGTGGGAGTAAACATCTCGAGATATCTCGAGTGATCTCAATAATCGAGTATCTCTCGATTTTTCACTCGAAATCTCCCATCACTATTCACATGTGTCAAGCCGTAAATTTGGAAGAAGAAAAATATAGGTTATAAATTCTTGTCTAAAATAATCAAAAAGACAAAAAGTATATAAATGGGAGATTTTAAAGAGATATTTTGCAGGCTTTGCATTAATACTGTCAGCAAATAAGAAAAATTTTAAGGACTGTTTCTCTGAATCTAGTAAGTTAATTTAAAACTGCATTTTAATATTCTAAGTTAAGTTACTTCCTGAGTTCAAAGTAACGCATGTGTATTAAGTATTGCCAGTCAAATAATTTTACTTTTTCAATAGAAACCTGTTTCAGGACTTGGACGACAACTGTGAACATGTCTTGTGTTCTACCTGTTCTTTTAAACTGTACTCTGCATTTGACTTTAAATCTACTTGTCTCTACATTGAGGACAACATTGTCAATTATGTTAAACCTAAGGTGTCCTTCGTTGACTTAAGGGAAGTTTATTCCAAGGAGCATGAGAACAAATCAGTTAAAGTGGAAGATAATGAGAAAATATGTTGATTATGTTTGCATTTAGTTAGGGAAAAATTTGTACCATTTTATAAAGTGAAGCTAGAAATGATTCACAGATACATGCCGGAGCTGGTAAATATCTATTTGCACATTTTAGAGCTTGCACTATTATACCTCTATTGTAGAATTTTAGTCTCACTGAAGATCCCCTCATTTGTAACCAATGTTTTGAGTCACTCGTCACTCATGATACCTTTAAAAAGACCTGTTTGAATGTTGAAATGAAAATTCAAAATGCAGGTGAATTTGAGCATAACAATACGTCTATTAAAAACGAAATCATTGAAACAGAATTAGGAGAAGATAGGACCATAGGATCAATTAAAATTGGACAAGAGCTAAAGATGGAAGAGACGCCAATTGAAACTGAAGAAATTAACATAAAAAGTGAAGGAAATGTTCGTGAAAGGTAAGAAAGTTAAGAAAAATTTGGATACGTTAACAAGATAATTCTAAATATTTCAAAGTAGGTTGTTAAAAATTATTTATTCATTTATACTTTATACTTATACTTATATTTAACAAAGGTAATGAATACATATAAGGATAAAAAAAAACAAATCGACAGTTTATATAATCATAAAAATTGACAGATCGCCGTATCTTGACTACGGAGACGATAACAACTTGACTGGCAACTGAGATCTAATAGGTCTGCGAGTCTGATACTTGGTTTCACCACCACCATCACACATCGTCGGGTATAGTTCGGAACAGCAATGAATTTTAACAAAAGATCTGCATCCATTCAGCCACAGGTATTCGAAAGCGTGATACAGAATTTTCTTAAAAGAAGTTGAGTATGACAAACGAGTCGTGGAGGACATCTGCTTCATATTTAATGTCAGTGCCTACCCTTTAAAAACATGTAAACACTGCCAACATTTTAATTAATACAATTTTTCCTCATATGAAATGCATTTCTTTGGGATACCTTTTACCTCTGCCAACGTTTAATTTCTTATTTTTAGGCATGGTAGCTAAAAATTCAGAACAAAGGCAAAAAATTAGACATTTTTTATTTGTTTTATGAAATAACGAAGACTATGTATTTTTTATAAAAGAAATGTGAATGTATAGAAAATATATTTTTTCTTTATTCGTAACATCTACCACAGAATAGGCAAAATTACGTTCTTTGGGTTTAGTTGAGACCAACTAAAAATGCAAATATTAAAGTGTGCATAACGTAATAACAAACCAAAAGAAAAGAAGAATACAAAAAGATTCTATTCATATAGCCAAAAATTTCACATGGTGACTGGCGATTTTTAAAGTAATTGTGGGGACTAGTTGTTTGACTTATGATTAATATGATTCTATATATTCTACATTCAGTATACTGAACTTGCATAAAGTGTCACTTGTTCAAAGCTAAAATAAAAAAATATTTTCTTTGCAGCCCAATTTGTAGATACTTTTATGTACCTATATATAATATAAATAACTATTAGCCCAACAAATTACAATTAAAAATATTTGACATTCACTGTGCTTTTTTACTTTTTTCTTTTTTTTAAATATTTTTCAATAGCTTCAACAGTATGAGGATCTACACATTTTTCTCACTAATAATTTTTTCTAACGGTTTCAGACGCAATTCGAAAAAAAATTCAAGACTTGCTGTTTTTTTTTTTTAGTGATCTCTGTGTTTTAGATAAGGAATAAGCCTTTGTTCATTTTCAGGTACCCCAAAAATCTTGCTAACGTAAATTTCAATGAAGTGAAGGAGCTTGGGCGTAGCTAGGATTTTTCTTGGGGTAGACCCAGAGCTGCTGCAAGCTCTATGAAGGTCCCTAAAAAGACCGCGACTAACCGTTATATAATATTTAATTATTCTTTTGTTTGAGTCTAAAAAAAACTTACAGATATGAGACAAAAATGATATTTTTAGGTCATTATTTTTCTGGGGTGGGCCTTGCACACCCCTGCCCCCCCCCCTTACCCTACGCCCATGTGAAAGAGTTATAAAAGTGAAATGGAAAAAAAAAACATTTAAAAACTTTTGGTTACAGAGAGTGTTATAAGGAGTACAATTATGGGCGGTAAAGGGGTTTTTCTCACCTCCATTATTTCTCCTCACGTTTTTTCATAACTTTATATATGTTTCGTTACTACACTAGTCCTGCTGTTGCACTTCCTTACACTTTCTTGCACCGGATAGAACACAATGTAGAGAAAGCATTAATTTTATATTATGAAGTTGGCTACAAACGACCACTGAACTAAACGAACGAAAATAAAAGACGAAATTAAAAGAAGTTTGAAAAGGAAATAGTAAAGGGAAGGCGGCACTATTTTGAAAATTTAAAATAGGGTTAAGTTATTTTTATATCATTTGTTTAAATTTGAAATTTAAGTAAGAAGATATAGCTGTATTCTTTTTACCACGTTTAACTGAGATTAACTGAGTCACTCAGTTCGTCTTAGTAAATTAGGAAAAAGTTTATGTTCTTTTAATATGACTTAAGTTGAGTACAAAGTGAAACTAACTAAGGAAATTTCTTCCCCCCTTACCCCAACTGAGCTAGCTTTTCATAAAACTTAAAAGTGAGTTGTAAGTTAGTTGAAAACTTTTTGCGTTATGTGCCGGATATTTGTAATGTTCCATGTCATATCTGCCTTAAAAGTGTGGTTACTGTACCATTAAATATGTATATGGAGGTTTATCCTTTACATTTTTTAAAATGGAAAATAAAAATGTAATATCTACACATATTCCTATAATATAGTATTCGATAATTATAACAATTATATTAGAAACGAATGATGAAATCTTAGTAGGGTAGTAACTAGTAGTAAGGTACACTTACTACAATAAAAACATTTACGGCACTTTCAGGAACCATTGTTAATAAAACAAAAATCCTATTGAAAATAAAAATGATTTATCACATACAATTGTATAAATATTAGAGGTTATAATTGTGATCTGAGATCTGTGAGAATGCATTCTTTTTAGACATAAATTTGCCTCAATTTATCTTACTTCATCTCAGCTCACTTTGTCTTAATTATTTTTACAAGTGAGACAGTCGGCTGGTAAAAAGAATACAGCTATTAAGAATTCAAAAGTAATAAATAAACTGAGCATATTTGCAATTTGTCTTACACGATGTGTTTAAACAATTTCAAAAATTGTAAATTTAACGAAAATATGTGAATATTTTTAATTTAGAAAACGATTAGTCTCATTCAGTTTATTGTTCTAGTCTGCTAGACTATTCTTTGAGAAATGGTGAGTTTAAGGGTGTTATAGAAAGTGTTTCGCATAAGAACCGACACTGAGCAGGGGTATCTAGGGGAACCCAAAATATGGTGATTTAACCCAACTTACCTTTATACTAAGCTGCACCTCCGAGAAATTATAGGCCTTGTAAGTGGGGTTCAAATTAAAAAAAAAAACATCAATATATCGCAGTTATACTTACAAAAACCAAATTTGGTACACAGTGTGACTGTACCAAGAGCATTAATCGACAGTAAGTAGAGTTCAATTGAAGCATTTTAAAGGGTTGATAAGGGATGATGCAACATTAATATGGGGCAGAATTTTTTAACCCGTTGACGGAAAAATTGTTACTTTATTTTATGGATAATTTAATTCTAAAACTTTTCTCTCTTGTTAGTTTTCAAAAACTGTCGTTTTCAACAAAAACACGAATAACTAATAATAGGTATTATAGCTGTTATTTAAAATCATCGAAAATTCAAAAGTTGGCTATGAATTTAAACGTCAAACTTGACATTTAGGAAAAAAGTTGAAAGAAGAATAATTTAATAGGAAAACAAACAACTTAAACAATAGAAATAACATACAATAATTTGCACTGATAAATTGTTCAAAATGATTACCGTTTTCTCTGAGGCATAAATTTATTCTTTGTCGAAAACTGAAGTCAACTCTATTCAATAACGGCTCATCGTTTTTAACGAATGTGCATTTGTCCGTAATGTGATTCCACAATTCTGCTCGAGACATAATGTAGAAACTGTTGTTTCAAATTTTGTAAAGCTATCTGTTTTGTTATTTACAAAAATGCTTTTATAGAAACTTTTAACTTTATTTTTACTTAAGTTCCCTTCAAGTATGTACGCTTACAGAAGGTGATGAGTATCTCAAAATATTTGGTATGGGTATCTAGAAAACGGTAGCTAACCTCGGATTTGGATAGGTCGTGCGGAAATATTGTCACAAGTTACGTACACGTTTTTTTTTGTGCTCATACTGTATTTGGTTCTTGATGTTCAAAATTGAAAACAGTTTTTATTGCTAAAACTCAGACTTTCTGTGTCATTAAATTTTTTAGAACTATGTACATATCTCTTGACAAAGATGACAAGGCTTCGTTTGTCAAGGATTTTAAGAACACTTGAATTAGCTTTATAAAGTAAAATGTGTAATAAAAATACTTACAATTTTTTAAATTTATATATTTAAAGAGCAACATGATTAAGAAAATGAACAAATAACAAAAATAAACATTTTTTTTATTAATAAAATAAAATAAACATTCTGGTATGAAAGATTCCCCCTGTTCCTGGATAGGTGAAAGCCAACAAATGTTGACTATGGAAAATTACTTTCCCTTCATCCCTCCGGTAACTGAATCTACCACATCTAGGACTGCATTTTTGATACCTGTAATGTATAAATCGTTATAAATTGAATGCTTTCCATGAGGTATGAGATCCTCGCCGTCGCCTCTCTTCCTCCTTTTGGAATCCACACAACCTCAGCTAGCTTCCATTCTCTCAGAAAGACCCCTCTCTCATGCACCACTCCACAAGCTCTCTACACTGCTCTCCAATTTCCTTAAATGCATACCTCAGACATTCACTTGGAATACCATCCATCCCTGCCTACACTCATGCCCTCAATCACTCCTATTTCCCCTAACACTTTATTTCTTTTTTGAATTTTGTGCCCTTCGCTTTCCTTTTTGTCATTGTTTTAATTTTCAGAATCGTTCCTAGTTTCAGTCACTCTCATGTCTTTTCACTCCTTATTTTTGTTTGTACCCTTTCATGCTCACTCACCTTTCTGTTCATTCTCTTTTCTTCATCCATCTCCTTGCCCCGGGACTCTGTCATTCTAATCTTGTCTCTAGTTATCTCCATACACGCCTTCTCCAACTTCATTTGCTCGATCAGAAGTTCTATTAATTCATTCTGCACAACTATCACCTCGTCCATTACAGCACTCCTTTCCTTTTCATTTTTTGGTAATTGGACTATTCTTCTCAGACTGTTTGTTATAACTTTAAACATCTCTCCTGTCGTTCTTTTTCCTTTTTCGATCCTACCTGTCTCTTCTTCATCTGTACTCCTGCTTCGTCGTTCATCAGTTATGTCAATATACTCTATTCCTTCACGCATCTTTCCAAGTTTATTTCCTTTTTCACCTCTCTTTCCAATTTCTTTGCTTTTTTCGTACTCGAACTCATCACTATATTCATATTCGCTATGCTCTTTTCCTTTCCCTCTTCCCCCGTTTCCTCCGCCCTTTCCGCCACTGCAGCTATCTCTGTCTACCTTTTCCTTTTCACATTCCTCTTCTTCTTTTGTTCTCCTTCCTTTGCCTTACTTACTTCATACTTTATTTTGCTTGTACTTGCTCCCTTTTTCAACTTGATTCTCATTCTTTCTCTTTCCTCCATTTCATTCTCTTCCATACTGCTTTCTCCTTCCTTATCTAGCATCCTTAATCCTGCCTTACTCGCCGCCATGTCTCTACTCCACTCACTAATACTGTGTAATTTCACTCACTAGTTTTATTTATTTCCTCCTCAATACTTCTTTCAGTCTTACTTTGTACCGGTTTAGAGCTCACAATCAGATAAACACGTCTTGGTCAACACTGCCATTAGTGTCAAATGTCATAGATTTTAAAAATTCCCTAGATTTCCCTGATGTTTGTATGAACCATAAACCTTATAAACTACTGGAGTGCCCTACTGTCATTTTGCCTATATAAACAGCAATCGCACCGACGTGTGCGAGAGAGATAGAGCTAGTGCAGGCTAATGCTTCATTCACAGAACTTCGACTGTAATGCGCTACACTTAATTCAACCCATCAGCTATCTATACTCAATTCCTTACCCCATTTTCTGTTGGGCCGTATTCCCGTTTGAAGTTAAAATGATTTTAACTACAATTATGTGTGACTTAATCATACTGAAAGTATGATTAAGGTAAACATTTAAAAAAATTATTAATTAGGTTTTTAATTAAATGCAGATGAATTGCAGAAGGGGCAGCCGACGAATTTCTGATCTACAAAGACTATAAAAATAATTTATAGTATAGAAGACAAAAAATTCCATTAAAAATGTGTAGATATATTAAATCTATCAGTAAAACTACACTTATGGTATTAAGAATTCTTTATCTTAACTCAAACTGAATTAAATTCGATTTCTCTTCTTTTAACAATACATATTTGTACCAGTAATTTTAATTATTATTAAGGAATAAGAGCATAAGCACTGTTTATATGGAATGTCTGTACTAATAATTGGTTGTATTAATGGGGGAATGTAATAATTAGAAATTTAAAGTCAAAGATATTTTATTATTGCCGTAAACTCACTTCAACTTTGAGCTTTCATATCTGATGACGATTCATCGTATCCACAAGATCAAAAGTGGATTTTGTTCGTCAATCCTTCCTTTCATTCTATAATTACATTTGAACAATACGCAAATAAAGTAGCTCCAGCTCTAAATGTTTATAAGTATTTTTTCGAAGAAGAGCTCAAAATAATAATTGGTTTTACCGTGAGAGAGAATTGAAAAATAAGTATATCAACAACTGAATCGTGCGAAATCTTCCCGGCCGATTTCGATGAAAAAATTACCACCTACCATCTCATGAAGTACTCAGAACCATATTTTTTATATAGCTGCTCTAAAGTCAAGGTCCGAAATAAATTCATGAAAAAATGATCTTTCATTACAATTTTTTTTCGGTCTATATTGTATTGCAGCATATAATACACATAAAAATTTTGGACTTCTATTTTGAAGAGAATCACAAAACGAAACTTTTTTCCTTTGGCTATTTTCTCTAATGTCAATATTCTCCAAGTTATACATGAAAGAAGGGAGAAAAATGCGTCCATTTAAAATTTTTTTTTACATTTTCCTGCACTAACAATTATGCACAATTATCATTTTACATAATATTTAGAACTAATTCCAACAAAAATTAGTGTTACTATATGAAACATCCATACAACCTACTTTTAAAACAGATACCGACTGTACTAATGATGTATTGTGGTTAAACATACCTTTGTTAGAAAAATTACTTTCATCTATCCATAATGTCATTTTTGGAAAGTTGGGGTTATTATTTGCATTATTGAAGTACCTGCGACAAAACTGTATTCTTTGTTCAAAGTCATTTTCACGAAGATGTTAAACCAAATTCACCTTGTAATGAAACAGTTTATGTTTATGTAGAATTTTTATACACAACGTATTCACTTAAATTATGATTCCTGCCTTATTCCATGACAACAATTACAAACAAACCAATATGTGACAGCAAAATGCTAAATTGTTTTTCCATTGCCTTCTATTCGATATGATTTAGAAAACGAGCACGTAAACTAAAATCAAAGGCTGAGTTTTCTCATTTTTTCTCAAAAATTTCGTTATGTAAAGGAATACAAATTGTATATGGTTGGAAAGAAAATAAAAAAATCAATCGCATTAAAAAAAATCTCATCCAGTGAAAAAAATAATATATTGTGTAACTCACTTTTGTTTTGCCGCCCACAAGATATTTGGGTATTTTTAGTGTTTCTACTAAAAATGGCAGCCTCCTTGCGCAGTATATTTCTTTCGATATGTGAACTATTCCAACTGGTAATTGATAAAGAAATTGCAAGAAACTTACTAACATTTAATTGTGTGTAAATTGAATGAAATGAGCACATCTGCTTGCTGTAACAAATATACATACCTATCAAACCCTACACAGTAATGAGAAAGCTTTCTATCCAAATATGTAAAAATATCTAGGGTATTCTGTCAAAATTAGTGTTTACTATACAAAATTTATTGTTTATCTAATTACATAATACTAATAATTCACCAAAAAAATTATCTATAATTGTTGGAAGGCTTGCTCTACTAAAGAGTTTTTATGTGTTAACTGGTGTCTAATTAGACTGTGTTTCTTCCTTGACTCGTAGACACATTTATTACACTTGTACATTTCTATTTTCGAGGGATCTTGGTGCTTCAACACATGAACTCTTAAACTCCTTTTATACATAGTTTCGAAAACACATTCATTACATTTGTACACTTCCATCTCCGAGGAATGTTTATTTACTGAAGTATCGGGTGTATCACTAGCGCCATCATTTGCACCACATTCCCATATTTGTGCCGTGGCAGGCTTCTCGTGCATTAACTGATGACTTTTGAGGCTCTTCTTATATCTAGTTTCATAGCTACATGTATTACATTCGTACATTTCGATTTCCGAAGGGTCTTTGTGCGTTAACTTATGTTTTTTGAGACCATTTTTATATTTAGTCTCGTAAGTACAAAATTCACACTTGTACATTTGGATTTCGGAAGGGTCTTTGTGGGATAGTTGGTGCCATTTTAGACCAGGTTTATATTTAGTCTCGTATGTACAAATGTCACATTTGTACATCTGTATTTCTGAAGGATCTTTGTGGGTTAACTGATGGTTTTTTAGACGATGCGTATATCTAGTTTCATAAGTACATTTACCACATTTGTGCATTCGGATTTCTGAAGAATCTTTGTGTTTCAATTGATGCGCTCTAAGATTCCTTCTAATCTTAGTCTCATAAGAACACTTATCACACTTGTACATTTCCACAGGTTCTTTGTGCTTTAGTTGATGCACTTTTAGATGTCTATAACATTTAGCTTCATAGTCACAAGCGTCACACCGGTACATTTGGATTTCAGATGGGTCTTTATGCTTTAGCAGATGTAATTCCAGACGATTCTTAAATTTAGTTTCATAAGTACAAGCGTCACATTTGTACATTTCGACTTCCGAAGGGCCTTTGTGAGTTAACAGATGCAGTTTCAGACTACTCTTATATTTAGTCTCATAAGTACAAGTATCACATTTGTACATTTGAATTTCTGAAGTATCTTTGTGTATTAATTGATGCACTACTAGATGTCTCTTATACCTGGATTCAAAACTGCAAGTGTCACACTTGTACGTCTGGATCTCGCAAAGGTCTTTGTGCAACATTTGATGTGCTTTTAGATGTCCCTTGTACTTAGTTTCATAACCACATATATCACACTTGTACATATGGATTTCTGAAGGGTCTTTGTGTATTAACAGATGTACATTGAGACGACCCTTATGTTCAGATTCATAAGCACATTTATCACATTTGTACATCCCATTTTTATACGTGCTCTTCAATTTCTTTCCAATTACTTTATTGTGTTGGTTGTGTGAAGAGGAATCACTGAAAAAATTAATATTATTCGCAATGGAATAAACACTATAAATGGACAGTTATTCACAATAAGAAGAACTGAGAATAATTCTGTAGAAAATATAAATGATAAATTAAATTTAGAATACACGTAATTATATATATCATCAGAGATATTTCAGATACCTGTTTTGTAATTTCAACATACTGCATCATGAAAATGAAGCGAGTTACCACCCATGTTCACATAACACTTTTTGTTTAAAATAATTTGGTCTTAGCAAAAGAAATTTTTCAAAATTACGAATATGGTTTTATTTTTTTTTTGAAACGGTGCAACATTTTGAGAATTGCTGTCCGCATGAAAGGTAAGTTTTTGCCAACACACCAAAGAATTGCTAGCTTAAGTTATGAGTCAATAAAATTATTTAGAATAAGATTTCAATCTTGGTTTTATGCTACATGTTTAATCTAACTTTAAAGTACTGGGACGGAAATAAATTTGTTAATTTCCTCAAAAAAAAAAAAAAAAATAAGGGATAAACACCTATTTATTGAAAAATATATAATAGTTACTACAAAATTGAAAATAAACAATTGACAGCTGAAAATACAAAAGTATACAATACAATACAAGAACTGAATGATTGTATTTATTAGTATCCTATAGTAATAGTTTAGTTTAAGCAACAAATTAAAATGTCTTTATAATACGTGTTTTTGGATATTGAAGCTCTACTGTACTGCCCCCTGGTGATGAAGTCCCTAAGCTATACTAAATTTTGAATAATTTTTCTAGTATTTTCTGTGGTACAATACGTATGAAAGTATTGTGTCAATTTGTTACTTTCATGACCAGTGTTTTCCTTTTAAGTGTATTTAAATAATATTTTTAGAGACAATGTACGACAAGTATATGGACAAAGTTCGGATAACTGTGAAGAACCTGCTCTATGCTCTCAGAGATTGGTAAACCATATGTAGGTTTTTCCATTATTAAATTTAATGGATCTTCAAATCTTTTACTGTGAAAAAAAAACTACTACACTATAGCAGGTCTTTTAAAACAACCCCATCATGTTTTAGACAAGGGACATTTTTTTAAATGAGTTTTCCTTATGAAAGGATAACAAAAAGTCCTAATTTGATCTTTATGTAGGTCTTTCTTTGCGGGATTGTGAACGGTAAGGAAAACAAAGAATTACAAGAAAATTTCTTAATACTATGGTCTTTACCATTTTTCCTAGATAGAAATGCAAAACACATAAGGCAGGTGACATGTATATGTGTACATAGAAATAATTTATTAGTGATAGGAAAAGCAGCAGATTAAACATAAAAATAAAATATTTTCAAAGGTTCGTGAGTTATGTCGCAATTAGGAAAACAAAGATCAACAGGTTTTCTGAAAATGCTGATGCTTTTTCATAAAAAAATTAATACTTGTTGAACTTCTACAACAGCTTTATAAAAATTGTCTTTTCAATGGGCAAATTTCGTGCTATGCGAAAGAAATTAAAAAAGCATGTGTCCAAGTCCTAAGATTTTAGCTGAATGAGCGTACACGGATCATAATAGCCTTGGAGATTTTTTTTAGACTTTTCTTAAACAAAAACTTTTTTGGCAAAAACTTCTGGGATAAAGATTTCAAAATACAGAAATGCTTCAAATCATCTAAATATGTGTAATTGGATATATATGTCTATAGACAGGGTGTTGCGTACAAGCCTGTAACTTTATTTTTTGCACGATTTCAAACATTTTTTTTAGGATGTAGGGTAAAAAAAAACTTTATCTAACTGTGATACTGCTGTTTTTATTAATGCAATATACGGTCAACTAGGACACGTTTTTTTTATGTCAAATAGCTAATTGGTATTAGCGATTGTTTTTCCAAAAAACAGATTAAGTATTCTCATGCAGCATCCTTTAAAACGTCTTATCACCAAGTTTCATCAAATTTGATACATCTTCAGGTGAGCACTCCATGATATCCTAGTTGGCCATGTATTGCATTAATAAAAACAGCAGTATCACAGTTTAACTCATAGTTTTTTTTATCCTACATTCTACATTTAAGCGCGATATCATGGAGTGCTCGCCTGAAGATGTATCGAATTTGATAAAACTTGGTCATAAGACGTTTTAAGGAATGCTGAATGACAATACGTAATTTTAAAAAAAAATTGCTAATACCAATTAGCTGTCTTGACGTCAAAAAAATGCGTCCTAGTTGGCCGTGTATTGCGTTAATATAAACAGCAGTATCACAGTTAGATAAGAGTTTTTTTACTCTACACTCAAAAAAAAAATTTTGAATTGGGCCAAAAATTAAAGAAGTTACAGACTTGTATCACATTTAAGCGCGACACCCTGTATATCTAAATATTTCTTAACTTTCTCACCTTTCCCGTTCCTCTCCTTCAAATTTGATATCAACTTCTTCACTTTCGATCAACATTTTGTCTGTCTCCGGTTGTCTTTCAATCTTAACAAATGCCTCTGTCGTCTTTTCATCTTCTAATTCCATCTCATCAATTTCTTTCTTAATAAAAACGCCGTAGGACCTGTAATCTGTGATTTTGTTGTCTTCTATGTTGTGAATTTGCGATTCAGCGTCCAAACAAGTCCTTATGAAAGTATCGTGGACACTGAGTGAATCAAAACATTGCCTACAAACGACGGGGTCTTCAGTGATGCCAAAATTCTACAACACAAGAGTTCGTAAAGGTATTGGTGTTTTTTAGCTTCAAAACACGGTTAAAATGGATATTTACCACCTCTGGAATGTATCTGTCAATTATTTCTAATTTCATTTCATAGAACGGCACAAATTCCTCGCTAATTAACTGCAAACATAACCTACATATTTTCTGATCGTCTTCCATTTTAACAAATGGTTTGCTTTCGTATTCATGTAAATGAACTTCTCTTAAGTCGACGAAAGACACATTGGGATTAACATAAGACATAATCTTGTCCTCAACGTAGAGACAAGTGGATTTAAAGCCAAATGCGGAGTACAGTTTAACAGAACAGGCAGAACACATGACTTGCTTATAGTTGTTTTCTAAGTCCTGAAATATATTTTTCTACTGTAAATGTGAAATGATTGATTAGCAATCCTAATACCAATATTGTACAACTTACCAAGTTCACTGAAACTGTCCTTAAAATTTCCCTTATAGATTCATCTATCACTGTAAAATTTCCTTTGTTAACAGTACTAATGCAAAACCTGCACAATATTCCTTTAGAATCCTCCATTTATGTATTATTTTTTATTTTTTCCTTTTCGATTATCCCAAACTTTATGGAATTTATAACTTATAACCTATACTAGTTACACAAACTTCTGTTATTTGTCAGTGTCATTAATGTCAAATGAACCACAAACTATACACTAGATAGAGGTGTATCTTCAGTATTGAATTTGTTTAAAAGTTTCAGTGCTATCAGTGGGTTCGACGTAAACTATTTTTATTTTATTGAAAATTGAGCTCTTCATGTTAATGATGTTTAATTTTTAGAATACTGATTGTTAGATCTACATTGTCAATAAGATAAATGTTGTGCAGACTGTAAGTTATTAAATAATAATAATGGAATATTTACGAAATAATATATTTTTGGTATACCAATATCCAATATACATATATTCAATCATTAGATTGAATAAAATATTGCGACAGCATCGTTTAATTTTTAACACAAATATGAAGAAACTCTTGGTATTTAGAATTTTTTTATCTAAATAATCTTTTTTTCGGCATTAAACCACTAAACCGCTCGGAATAATATGAAATAATATTTTAAAATTAACTCAGAAACACCAGAAACAACAGTTAAACTCATAACTAAGTTACAATAAGTTAAATCTCACAATCAGTAAATATCATTCGATATACTCTACATTTGCAAAAAATACTATAACAGCTACACGCAGTGGGTAAACTTGTCCCTTTACAATTTCTTTATTGTATACTAATGCAGTTACCGCTGTCTACATAGTTTATACCTTGTGAAGCGAACTAATGTAAAAATTGGTTAGGGACAAGTCCATCCAGGGGATGGCGCTGCAGGGAAACACAAAACACAATATAAAAAGGGTAAATTAAATCGCAACAGATTTCTGATCTGAATGCAGAGTAGTGGAATTCAATCAGTGCATTCTAGTTCAGTTTAGAAAATGTACCGGATCGTATTGTATCGGAAGCTGTAATACCGGTATAAAATATCGAGTACTGGAACGAAAGAAAAAAAACGGTACTCAGAAAAATCGTACCTTGCCGTACATCTCTATCGTGGTATGGATTTTGTTTTACACTTTGTTGGTTGTAGGTTATGTAATGATTGTTTAGTACCAAGTACTGTCAAATACAATTGTTTAGATTAGAGCATGTTTAGAGTTTAAAACCTCCGTAGAAAAAAAGAAAAATGCAACCAGGAAACTTTAAGGAAATATTTTGTAGGCTGTATCTTAATATTGTAGGCAATAGCAACTGTCAAATAATAGGAGAAGTCATAACGAAAGCCTTAGAAGCAGTTTTCCCAAGTCTGGTAATATCAAATTATTAATATTACTTTTACATATCCATATAGGTTGTTTATTTTTATATCTTTGATTATGTTTATGCATTTCAGAACGTGAAGGGAAAAGTTGAACATGTAATATGTAACAGGTGCTCTGTAAATTTATTCGCCGCCTGTAATTTTATATCGACATGTACAGATACGGAGGGTATTATTTCTAGTGGTGGGCAGAATCGAGTATTTTTAAGAATCGAGAACTCGGTACTCGAATACTTTTAAGAATCGAATGATTATCCGAGAACCGAGTACCGTACTGAGACCGAATGAGTATCCTGTACAGGACTCGAGAACAGCGGCAATGCAGAATCGGTGTATGTCGGCGACATGGTGTGGATTCGAATGCATCATTGGTAGCTTAGCAGTTAGTAATTAAGGTAAACCTCGCAACGAACGAGAGATGTGGTTTGTTTCACGGAGCATTTTCCGTTATTAAATATTAATGTTTTTAGTTATTTTATAATTATTGAATTCTTATTTTTAAAATGAAGCCTGGCTGCAAATCATTAGTTTGGGATTTTATTTTAAAAAAAGTAATAAATAAATAAGTAAAAAGTTTAAATTATTTGGCAAACAACAAATCTTAAAAAACATTCAATTTTGGCCTCTAAATAACATCCGCCTAGTGGCTAGTCCATCTATCTGCCTGTCCTGAGGGATACTCGAAATCTCATCATGAATTCTCAAGTATTCGAATGCTGACATAAAAGTTCTCGAGAACTGCGAGAACTTTTAAGAATCGAATGGATATTGATTCTTGCATTCGAATTCTCCCATCACTAATTATTTCTCCTTATGTTAATTCAAGTAAAGTGTCACAAGTTGATTTAAAAAAAGTCTATTTAAAGGAGAAGGGAAATACTCATTTAACCGATGTATCAGGAAGTCAGAGAATTTGTCGATTATGCTTTCAATTGCCACAGTCTGGATTTGTGTCACTAATTGAAGTGGACATTGACATAATCGATACATACATACCAGAAGTTGTACGTATATTTACCTGTTAGGAAAAAATCTATACAAATAAATTTGCAGTACTTATTAATTTCATTTGACAGAAAGGTGCAGATTAGAAGTGAAAATTGAGGAGTGTTTACGTAATGAAATAGGAACGGAAATTGAATACAAACGGATAATATTTAATCTGAAATTGCAATTATTTTAGAATACTATTTCTTAAAAAGTGACTTCGGCCACAAAAAAATCAGATTTATGTCCAGCAACCTCAAAAATAAAAACAAAGCAAAACTTTTTATTAATATTATGGTGTACTAGGACTGTTTATGTCTATCAGAATTATAGAATCAGTTGTCCATTGTGTAAATATCCTTACGCATACATGTACTACGGGGTAACCGAAGTTGTCTTTTACCATCTAGTAGTAAACTAAACTTGTTTTAAAATTTATTTTCAATAGTTTTTATTTGTTTTTAAGAGATTCCACCAGGGATTAATGCTAATATTTGTTCCTGTTATATGCGGATCATGCTTTGATTCTCTTCATACTTATGGTGGTTTTCTGAAAGACTGCCTTGATGTGCATGAAATACATAAAAGGGCTGATAAGGAACCTTATGTTAAAACTGAGCCGATTGAAACAAAAATGAAAGAAGATAGTCAGGATGGGCAGGAAAAATATGAAAACGTCGATAAGCTGTTGTATTGTATTAAACTTGAAGAAATTGAAATAAAACTTGAAAATGATCAAGATGCCCAGGAGAAATATAAAAGTACTGAACAGCAGTCTTGTATTAAATTTGAAGAGATAGGAGTAAAAGTAGAGAAAAATGATCAGGATGGGTAAGGAAATATATATGAAATTTCTCAAAATTTAAAAATTAAATCCTGAAGCACCAGAACTGTGAATTTTCGTAAATACTTTAACCTTGTCTCATTGCACTTAAAAATATTTTTATTCTTTTTTATTCATATTGCGTTTTGTCTATTTCATGAACAATTTAACATGTTTCAGTGGCTTCTCTCGTGGACCGTCGTTAGATACACAAATCTACCAGTGTAATAGATGTAAATATGAAACTAAACTTAAGGCAAGTCTGAAAAGGCATCAGCGGACACACAAAAACCCCTCAAAAGTACAAGCGTACCAGTGCGCCACCTGCAGTTTTGAAACCAACTACAAGAGCAATTTGAACAGACATCAGTCAGTGGTACATAAAGAAGTGAGGACCTACAAGTGTGATATGTGCAGTTATGAAGCGAAAGTCGAGACTCACCTAAAAACGCATCAGTTAATCCACAAAGATGCATTAAATATCCAAATGTACAAGTGTGATACATGTAGATATGAAACTAAACGAAAGGGTGATTTGAAAAGCCACCAGCTATTGCACAAAGACCTTTCCGAAATCCAAACGTACAAATGTGATAGTTGTACTTATGAAGCTAAGTATCCTAAATGTCTAAAAGTGCATCAGTTATTGCATAAAGACCCTTCTGAGATCCAAATGTACAAGTGCGCTACATGTAGCTATGAAACTAAACATAAGAGCCATTTAAACATGCATAAGTTAATGCACAAAGATACTTCGGAAATCCGAATGTACAAGTGTGATGTTTGCACTTACGTAACAAAATTTAAGAATTACCTAAAAGTACATCAAGTATCACACAAAGACCCTTCTGAAATCAAAATGTACAAGTGTGATATGTGTAGTTATGAAGCTAATTTCAAAAGCAGTTTAAAAACGCATCAGTTAATACACAAAGATTCGTCGGAAATCCAAATGTACAAATGTGATGTTTGTACTTATGAAACTAAACATAAGAGTCATCTAAAAATGCATCAACTGTCCCACAAAAATCTTTCTGAAATCCAAATGTACAAGTGTGATACATGCACATACGAGACTAAACATAAAAGCCATCTAAAAGTGCATCAGCTAATCCACAAGAACTCTTCAAGAACCCAAATGTACACATGTGATAGGTGTAGTTATGAAACTAATTTTAAAAGTTGTTTAAAAAAGCATAAGATTATACACAAAGAATCGTCATAAGTCCAGATGTACCCGTGTGATATGTGTAATTATGAAACTAAATATGTGTGATCTTAATAGGCATCATTTAATACACACAAATCTTTGAAATTTCCAAATGTACAAGTGTGATACATGTAGTTTTTAAACTAAATGCAATAATCGTCTGAAAACACATCAAATATGCAAGCTTTCAAATGTTTTCGGGATCGTACATGAACAAAGTTTAAAATTGCATGTGTTAAAGCACTAAGATCTATCAAGATTAGAAATGTACAGGTGCAAGTCAAACAAGGCATAAGCGTATTCTAATTAGGCATGATTTATTACTAACTCGTTGGGAGTGTATTAAGGCCTTACATAACCTCGAATTTGCAGCTTTAATTGTTCAACAGCAATACAGAGCCTTCATAAATGATTACAAGTCACGTAACCACCGAGCTTAGGCAACCAATGTTGCACGATTGCACCATCAACTGCCTAAATCTTAGCATCACCAATATTTATTAATTTACAATGCCAAACCGTTGCATCTACGTTTAAGGGAATGTTTCACCAGTCGGTGAAATAGATGTCAAAGGTCTGATTTAACAACCGTCGTTAAAAATCTACTGAAGTAGTTCAAACGTATTAGTTTTAGTTGCACATTGATGATATCGATTCGATTATTGCATTCGACTATACTTCATGGCTGAAATTATAGAGTGACTCATGCAGAATATAAAAACGCTAATACCATAAAGTGTTTGAAATATAAAATGGTTTTTATAACGGTTCAATATTATTAGTCTCGTATTAAATGATGTGCCGCTCTCTATGTACCTCAATAAGATCCATAATCGTCTATAGACTGAGTTACACCGAACGTCAATCTATCTTCTATGTCTATCGCACTTAATAAGGGAATATGGAAATGTTTTTTTAGTGGGTGTAAGTACTTGATTTAGTCGTCGTTAGCGCACGGGAGGGGTCAAATTCCGTGGCTCTAATAAATAACACAGCCACACAAAAAAAGAAAAGTTGTCTGTACTTTTCATGTGACATGTTATCTGTAGTATTTTTGCCTCCTGATCACAAATCCGGTATCAGAATTGAGCTATCACATCACAGGAATTTCCTAAACCTCAAAAAACAGTTAAAAAATAGCAAAAATTCATGAAAAAGTGCTAGGAAAAATACAACTTTTTTTTTTCCATATTCAAATGTTCATTTAAATATACAGGGTGGTCGCGATGTAATGGGCCAAAATTCATGACTAGATTCCTGACGTGAAAATATTGCGATTTAGACAAACTCACCTTAGTCCAAAAGTTGATACTTACAGAGATACAGGGTGTTTAATGCAAAATATTATTTTAGTTTTTTCTTATTTATTTCATAATAAATGCTCATATCGAGATGAAATTTTGGTGTTAGGGGTTTTCTGGGGCGAGAGATTGAAATATATCCATGGTTTGCTTGTAGCTCATAGAGAGCGCCACCTGCGCTAGGTCGAATGCGTTGAAAACGACAGAACTTTTTTATCTTTCAAAAATCTAATTCTCAGGTAGCAAATTCTGATTTTACAACTTCTTTTACACAAAAAAGCTATACTTTTTGATAGTCGCTATCTTGCACCGTTCTCAAGATATTTAGCTTTGGTAATTCGAGTAATCAAAATAAGGTACGAATGTCAAAAAGAACAAGAGTTTATTTCAAATTATAAATTGTGATGAACAATTGAATATCGAATATTACAATAAATGTTCAACATGTCCGCCTCCAACTTCAATACATTTATTAACGCGTTTGTTCAAAGACTGCCGTATTTTAAAATAGAGATTCTTGTTACGAAATGATTCGGCGGCATTTACAATTTTCTGCCATAGCTCTTCGCGGGTGTTTATAGTTTCTCTATAGACAACTGATTTCATGTAGCCCCAGAAACAAAAATCCATAGGATTAAAGTCAGGACTACGAGGAGGCCATAATATTCGACTCCCACGACCGATCCAACGATCCGGAAAAATGTGGTCAAGATAGTTCCGTACTCTGACAGAATAATGAGGGGGAGCTCCATCTTGCATGAAAAATAGATTTTGCCGTGTATTCAGTGGTAAATCGTCGAGGTAGTCAACTAAATGGTGCTGCAGGAAATCTAAATACAAGTCACCATTTAGATTTGGA